AGAGCATCAGTTGCCGACACCTGGCACTCTGAGGCCAATGATGGCATAGGCTCAGATAATCAGCCTTCCTGGCTTCAAGTTTACATTGAGACCCTGTGTCAAGGGCAGTCGTGTGGGGTGGTGGTGGTGGGGGGTTGTGGGAGGTGGGGACTTACTTGTCAACTACTGTTATGGTTTGGATCTTAAATGTCATTAAAGGGCATGTTAAAGGTTTGGTCCCCAGCCTATGGTGCTATTGGTCAGCAAAGGAACCTTTAGGAGGTGGAGCCTAGTGGAAGGAATTGGGTCACTGGGGGGGGGGGGGGGGCTGTGTGTCCTTGAAGAGGACAGTGAGACTCCAGGCCTTGACTCACTCTTCGCCTCCTAGGTGCATGGGTGAGTGGCTTTGTCCCACTGCCCACAGTGATGTCCCTTCTTGGCCCAGCCCCAAAGCAACTGGCCATATGACCATAAATAAAAATCTCTGAGCCAGAATAAATCTCTCTTCTCTTTATAGTCTCTGTCTCGAACATTTTGTTACAGTGAGGAAAAGCTAAAGCCAGATATTAAATGAAAACTTCAGTTTTGTTGCTGTTGTTACCCTTCTCTGGTCTGAAACCTGGTCTAACATTCCACGCCGGGGCTCACTCAGATATCTCAACAGAAAAAGAAATGGTCCCTCTCTGAAAGCAGAAAAAAATACTGCATAGCATTGGGACATTTTACATGGTACCGTTCTGCCATGAATATAAAATCTGCCACTTCAGAACAGTGTGGTCCCTCTCAAATGTCACCTTGCCTTGGAAAGCTAACCTGTACTTAGTGTATTAATCAAATGCTATTAAATTAGTGAATATTTATCTTTTTATATATCATCAAGACAAGCAAAATGGATATATTTCCAGGGCAACATTGTGAATTTATATGTAAAAACACAAGCACAGACCTGATAATCTGTTTTACTCATCCATCTCAACCTGGAGTGTTGGTCATAGCAACTGTCATATTCAATAAACAACTATCTGGCCAGGTGGCAGTGGTGCATGCCTTTAAGCCCAGCACTCATGAGGCAAAGGCAGGTAGATCTTTGTGAGTTCGAGGCCAGCCTGAACTACTGAGCTATTTCCTGGATAGCCATGGCTACACAGAGAAACCCTTCCCTGAAAAACTAAATAAGTAAACAAATAAACATCTGTTGAACATCTAATACAGTCCTAAAAGAGACACGACCTGAGTTTCCGCTACAGAAAGTCAGTCTGTAAATGGATGCATTCAGCTACCAGAATCACAAGGACGGGTTTGAGGACATGCACAGAGGAGGCTGGATGAAGGCAGGTTACTCCCTTGTCAGCACGGTGTCCTTGGCCATGCACTTAGGTCACACTTATCAGTGGTATTATGCTGTCATGGGATAAAAACCCATATCACAAAGCAAGGTGCCAGATATTTATAATTCCTAGAACCTCTTCCCAGAGCCTGTCTCCCTCCATACCTGCCGTGTGTTCTTGGACACACCTGCAGCAAAGGCTTGTTATCACAACCTGGAACAGCCTTCACTTTGAAAGCCCTCAGAACCTGTCAAGTTACAGAACCTGTGCAAGTCTATAAAACCCAGCCCTTGGGAGGTAGAGACAGGAAGAGCAGGAGTTCAAGACAGGCTCGGCTGCCCAATGAGGTCGTGGCCAGGACACGCTGCATCACACGGTCTAAATACCAATAAAAACCAATCCAGTGGTTGGATTAGAACTGAGGGAAGGTGCCAGAGTTCACTGGGTGCCAGTCTTTAGGGAGGTGTTTGAACTAACATTCCCAACTCCTAACAACAAGAAGAGGTGAGGCAAAGGGCCACCGTTGGGTTCCAGTTTCTAGCGTGACGCTGGAAGCTAGATGCTGCTTCGTTTTCTTAGGACGTATTTCTTTCTCCTGTGTGTGCATACAAGTGTGCATGTGCTATAGACACACGTGGAAATCAAAGCTTTGACAACTTGCAGTTGCTCCTTCCAGAGTATTGGGGACTAAAGGTGGGGGAAGGTGTGTTCAGTCCCTAGGCAACCTGTGTACAGCTAGATGCCTCTGGTGATAATTGAAGGGAGATCTGGAACTAGCAGAAACATTTGGGGAAAGGAAAAAGTTAAGCTTAATTGGCACATCCGCCAGGTAGTCTGGACACTTAAGTCTGTTCTTAGAGAGTACAGAGGTATCTCTGATAAGGTACTTCCTCCGTCTGGGGATGGACCTGGCCGGATGCTGCCAATGATGATAATTACAGGGAGACTTGAACTGGGGTTCTGGCTGTGCATAGCTGTCAGCGCACAAGGTTATCTAAATATTCCTTTAGCAGAGGGGAAATTGGTGCCCAATAAATCATGGGAAAGCTACAATAGCACACAAGAAACTCATAGCAGGAAACGGCTGATAATCAAAAGCCAAATATCACCAAGGCTCCTTGAACCTCAGCTTGACCTCTGGAAGGCCCCTCGGCTTCTTCCAGGTATTAGGTTTGTCATAATCAGCTGAAATCCTACTTTGTATATCTTTGCGGCTTGCAGCGCCAGAGACTGAGCTCAGGTGTTCAGCCTTGATGGCCATCACCTTCATGCTCTGAGCCATCTCATCAGGACTCCTAGCTGATTTCCAGAGCTTAGTAAGTGTTCCCCCAGGGCCCATGGTTTTCAGACATGGTCACCAGTGTTAGTGGGGCTTTTAGGAGTTGTGGCCCAGCAGAAGGAAGTTAGGTCATTGAGGGTGTGCCCTTGAAGGAGAACCTGGCCGCCTCTCCTTGTCTCTGTGCCCCAGCCATCATGAGGTGAGAAGCTCCCTCTCTCATGCTCTCCTCACTGTGATGGGCTTGGCTGCCTCATCACGGGTGCAAAGAAACAAGGGTCAACCGACTGTGCATTGAGATTGTCAAAACTGTGAGCCCAAATAAACCTTTCTTCTTTTCAAGACGATTCACCTCAATTATTTGTTACAGCAACACAGACTAACACCCCACCCCTGCTCACCTCATCGTTCCAAAGCCAGAGTGCTGGTATTGTGTTGCACTCATACCTGCCTCGTCCATTTGTCTAGTTAGTGGAGAAACGAGATTTGGAGCACATATTTTCTCATCTGTGGAAGTTCACAGGTGAAGGACTGAACACTTCAATATTGACAACGGACAGAAGCTGTCAGTCAAGCATCCCAAGGACTAGGAATGTAGAAAGGGGGAGACGCTGGTCACAAGAGATGAGGAAGGCTTTGCACTGAGCTCGTCATTAATAATCCACACAACACTGACTGTGACCGTCCTCTGTGCCTCTGTGTCTGGTGTGCTTACTATCTGTCCTGAGGGATGCTCAACGCCCAGACTTTTAACAACTGAGTGGTTGGGGAGAGGTGAGTGTGTTGTTGGGTACGCCATTTCTATCCACTCAGATGAGAATTCAGCTTGTCCTAGTGGGTGTGCATCTGAGAAAATAAGGAAAGCCATCTGATGATCTAGACGAGGAAGCAGACTTCAGTCAAGAGACCACAGATCTTTAGCACGTGTGTTCACACACGTAAGCATGGACACACACACTCATGTTCATGCTTAGGCATCTGCAGGACAGAAGCTTGGAGTAAGGTGACCTCCAATAATGGGAGGATATGAAAAAACAAACACATTTTATACCTAATGGCACCAAGGAGGTTTGGCTTAATCTTTTGAGATAGATAAATAAAATAGTAATAAAACATGTATAGAGCCCAAGAAATTTTGACCTTCACCCCTATCTTTTGTTCCATCCAGATTCCCTCTTGTTTCCTATATCGTTCCATGTGCTCCTTATACTGCTAAATGATTTCGTTACTATGGAGACAAGAAGATCTGCATAAAGCCCAAACACGATGTCAAATTACGAAGTGCTTTGACTTTGTCCCACAGCTTCAGAAGAATACAAGGAGAAATGACCACATCCCGATGTTGCAATGTGCTTAGATAAACACGTATCACAAATGCATCTTCTTTGGCAAGGGTGGATATGGGGACAGGCATGTGTGATTAATGAATTAATATCTCACAGATATCATTCTGAATGAAAATCAAGCTTGCTTAGAAAATTCCAGGCTTGTAAAATCATCTTCGCCAAGAGTTACGGCCAGCAGAGTTCAACCCTCACACACTGTCTGCCTTGTTTGTGCAACACACACATCCTAGCTTCCTAGATCTGCTTAACAACTGCACAGACATCTCAGGGGGATTCTTTTCCAGTAACTTCTTGAATGGAGATAAAGCACAGAGGAGTCCTCCTCTTGGAGTTCTTTTCCAGCCTTTGTCCTCCCAGTTTCCCCACTGGAGAGCGTGTTCTCATCCCCAAAGCCAAGTTTTGCCTTCAGACTAACACATATGTCCCTGATGTCATCTTTTGGCCTTGCGTCTGTATATGATTCAGCGGTAGTGGAATTTGCTGTAATACTCTGAAATCACTTATTACACTGATAGCTGGGGAGGGGGCAAGAGGGGAAAGCCTGGGAACGCACAACCAAAGCTCTACCGAGGCTGCTGATTTGTGGGAAAGCCACCAATCTGTGAGAACCCCTTCGACAGAAAAGACAGAACGTGACAAAGTGGGAGGAATGGGGGGGGGGGGGGTCAGCTGCTCTGCTCCCGGCCTCCAGCTCTCCCCCCCGAGCTCTCTCCCTCCCCCCAAATCATTCTCAAATGTATCATCACGGCCCTAGGGAACATTCCTGTCGGGTAACGAGAAAGCGTAATTATATGCTTCAGAGCGGTTGAGGTTTTTCTCCTATTTTCAAAACAATGAATATCTTGTGGAAAGATAGCACAATTTGTGAATAAGCTGGAATTCTTTCCCTGGAGTACATAGACAGTTGTTTGGAGGGGAACCCAGAAGACAGCTCCATTAATGATTTTATTACTTGGACAATCTAGCCACATTGTTCTATGGTACACCTAGGAACAAGCTTCTGAGATCACAATCACACACACACACACACACACACACACACACACACACACACACACACGCATGCACGCACACACACACACACACACACACACACCGAGAACACACAATCTCTCTCCTACACACACACACACACACACACCGAGAACACAATCCCTCTCTCTCTCTCTCTCTCTCTCTCTCTCTCTCTCTCTCTCTCTCTCTCTCACACACACACACACACACACACACACACATTGTTTATAAGTTCGCAGGACCCACAGCATGAAAAACTCAAGACTGACTTTCACAGACTATATTCTTCTTCACTCCTGTATTTCTACTTCTCACTTCCAACGTGGCTAATGAAAGTGTGGGCAAAGTTTTATGAGTCTCCATGTGTTCCTTGGTGGCCTCCGTAGATATAAAATCAGAGTGAAACTGCAGGAGTGTGCAGCAACACACAGTTCCAGTGGCAGAGGGTCTTTCCTGCGATTATCATACCAACATTCTTTAAAGTCCAGTTAAAAAGTCACAGACAACAGTTGTTCCTAGGGCTAAAGGAAACAGCATTCAGCATTTCAAAAATGCCGATCCTTTCAACGTTTCTGTCTACACAGCACTGGCATCCGATTCCACAGGTAAAGAAACCAAATCCCAATGAGAGTCATAGGTTCCCTAGCTCAGTCTTTGTTCAGACTGACTCTGAACCCAGATTGTCCTCTTCCTGATATCTCAGGCCACCTTCCCAGGAAGGCTGAGTTGCTTCTACAGTCCCAGGTGGGTGGGGCTGGAGAGATGCCCAGCGATGAAGAGCATTCATTGCTCTGGGGAACGACCTGAGCTTGGTTTCCAGCACCCACATCAGGCAGCTCACAATCACCTGTAACTTCAGCACCAAGGGACCCGACGCCCTCTGCTGGAATCCTCAGGAACCTGCACTCACATGCACATACCTGGACACAGAAACACGGATACACAGAATTACACACAATTCTAAATATAATAAAAATAAAAACAGATCATTAAAATATCATGTAAGTGTGATCACTAGTACCCTAGGGTGCTACACTCAGGTTACCCTGAATTCAGCAAGCTTTCACATAAAAATGTAAGTATTTATGTGAAATGCTATTGTGTAAGGCTCAGATTACAGGTATGTACAACCATCCCTGGATCTTTTGTTTCTTAGGAAAAAATCCCAGCCATGTGGGGAAAATGTCATAGCAGATGGAGCATATCTTGTCCAGACCCTGTCTGTGTTCTCACAACTGAGCATGATCTTCATATGGAACCCACTCACTGGTGGAAAAACAAATGAGTTCTGTAGTTGGACTTTTCTGTCCCACCTGCCAGCTCCCAAATCATGACACAGAGACTTATTATTAATTATAAAAGCTTGGCTGATAGCTTAGACTTGTTTCTAGCTAGCTCTTAGAACTTAAATTAACCCATTTCTATTAATCTGTGTGCTGCCATGTGGCTTGTGGCTGTTACCTCTCCTCCTGCATGTCTTGCTTCCTCTGCATCTGGCTGGTGCCAACACCTTCTTCCCAGCATTCTCTCTGCCCCCCAAATCCTTCCTAGCTATTGGCCACTCAGCTTTTTATTAAACCAATCCAAGTGACATATCTTTACACAGAGTAATGAAATATTTCACAACAGAGTTCCCTGAAGTATCACAGAGGATTTCTGAAATGGAACACAGTTGGGGTAGGACACACTTAGAACCAACTTAGTTTTCTGACAGTCTCTTTACCTGGACAAACAGTGAAAGAGGCTGAACCCTGGCCAGGTGGCCTTTGCTCTCCCTCATTCTGTGCCTGCTCTGCATTTGGACAAATGAAAAGTTAGAAGAGCCAGAAGTAAACTTCATAGTCCTCCTCAGACCATTAGACAAGCATAAAGACAACTCCAGTCTACATTCATATTACTTTTATTATTAGTCATCTCTTGACTATGTATGAGCATTTTTATTAGGTACCTGCTCTGCACCAGGCACTTTCCTAAATCACAGAAACATGGTATTAAAAAGACTATTCCCAGAGCATACATTGTTCTGTAAAACCCATCTAGCAGATACAGCATGGTCTTCATGTCCAATGAGTACAAACAATAAAAACCCAATCACTGAGGAAGATAAGCCATTAGCCTTACCATTCTTAGCTACAAGCAGTGTGTCCATTGAAATGTCCAACTCAATCCATGTCAGCACAGTTGTCCATACCACATCATAAAAAAACAAAACAAAAAAGCATAAAACTGTGGCATAAACATGGATGCCCTTTTCCCCCCATGTGACCCCAGTCAGAAAACAATGGTATAGAGATTCATTCAGTACTGCTTTGCTTTCAGTCTACAACATACCATATTTGGGCACTCTTCTGAAAGCCATTGAATGAAGCCATGTTGAACAATGAAGCAAAGACCAGATCACAAAGAGATACAAAAGCCACTAAAAAGAGTGCTTGCTTAGAAGAGCACTGTCCATGGTCAAATGATCCCAGCTGTGTTCTATGGTGGTTTCCAGCCAGCTGCACATTATAACCACATGGGAGATTATTTTAAGTGCCAATATCGGCACCCTTGTCTCAGAATGTCTGACAGTTATTTAACTGGGGATGGAGCCAGAGCACCCTTAAATGTGAAGTTCCCTTAAATGGTCTAAAATGCGGCCAACCAGGTGTGGTCACCCATTCTTATCTGTGGAAGGAGCTCCCTGTAGTTTTTGGCCCCTAAAAATCACTTTCATTGTTTTACTTTTTTCTTACCACCAAAGTGACATCTGTTCGCCACAAAGAACACTGTAAACACAAGAAAGAAACATCACTCCAAATCCCACCTCTCACAGCTTTCTCCTGCCAACATTTTGGTGTGTTTTCTGTCTGAGGCAAGTGTTGGTGCTCTTTTATTGCCCCCAAGAGGGAAGCCAATTTTTAAAATCAATAATAAACGTCAAAGAATTATCTAGTATCAGAGTTGTCAATTATTTTGCCTGTTGCTATAGACAGTCTCTCAGCCCCCCCCACCACTATAGCAGTTTCCTAGTTTTATTAATAAATAAAGCTCAGGAGCCAGATATTAGGGTTTAAACCTGATAGATCCACAAAGCAATGGAGAAAATATCAGTAGCCCTCCTCTCCACCTTCTCAGATTGAAAAGGTCTGAGAATCTTTCCAAGCCCCTCCTTCCTCTCTGTGTCTCTCTATCTTCATCTGAGTCGGCCAGAAAACTCTATGGTTTATTCCAGCCTGCTGAATGTGGACTCCACCCTCTGAATCAAGGTTTAATTCCTATGGCTGTCTTAGAGCGATGATACAAACAAATCTCCCTGCAACACCCTACATGCAGAAATGGGGTGGCTTTGTTCAGCCAAGCGTGTTTACTTGAAGGATAATTTTAGTTAAAAGGACTGACTGTCGTTCTCCTTGTACCTGACTTTCTTTTCTTTCTTTTTTTTTTTTGGGGGGGGGGGCGGTTCGAGACAGGGTTTCTCTGTACAGTTTTGGAGCCTGTCCTGGAACTCACTCTGTAGATCAGGCTGGCTTTGAACTCACAGAGATCTACCTGCCTTTGCTTCCCAAGTGCTGGGATTAAAGGCATGTGCCACCACCGCCCAGCTGTACCCTTCACCAGTGGCAGAGAGTCACTACTCTCAGGGACTGTACTTTATTCTCCAAAGAGACTGTCAGAGGTGAGATCTGTAGAGTATCACACCGCCTGCAGGACATGAGTCTGTCTTTTCCTGTGTGTGCAGAGCTCTAAACTCTATGCAGAATACAGGACCTTGGAGGAATATATATATATATCATGTTATTTTAGCTTCACATGAAGATGCTTTACCAAGACTTCACATCAGCTGCATATCACCAGCCTATATGAGGACATCCTAAGAACAGCTCCCGGAAGCTGACTGTCACGTCTGTTATGAAAGTATATGCATTATTATGCTAGACAATCCTTGCCACTTGGTTCTCTTTAAGAAAATCCACAAAAATGTTCAGGAAAAGAATTACAGTTTTCATGTGTGTCCTTCATCTCAGGGGCCTCACTACTCTTAATTATTTGTTTCCATCTTTTCTTTGGCTGCTAGGAAACTCAGTAAAATTGTAGCATCACCTAGCAATTATACCCAACCATGGTACGCGTTTGTGAACTTCTCCCTAGCCCTGCCTGTACGGTGGGTCTACCTTCAATCTCTCCTTAACTACTGAGCTTTAACTTTCAAAGTTAAATGTATGTGTGAGTGTGTGTGAGAGAGAGTATGTGTGATTGGATGTGAGTGTCTGAGTGTGTGTGTGCGGTGTGCGTGTGTGTGTGTGTGTTTGTGTGTGTGTGTGTGTGTGTGTGTGTGTGTGTGTGTGTGTGTAGTCAAAATAAACCCCTTCTCCCTAAGTTGCATCCTGTCAAGTACTTGGTTATAGCAACAAGAAAAGTTAAGCAGTACATAAAATGTAACAAGGAAAAAGAGAAAGAGAAGGGTGTGGAGGGAAATAAAAGGGGAGTCTTGCAGAAGCAGAGATGCTTAAAAACTGACTGCAAAACCCTGAGCTACAGAATGTGTTAGGAAAGGACTGATCACCTTGTGTCTGACCTGGCCAGTCAGTGAAGAGTTAAAGGGGCCCCAGACAAAAATAAGGCCTTATGCATTGCCCACATGTATATATGCTGTGGTGGGGGTGAGGGTTGCTGTGTAACAATACTTTTACTAGGGAGACCCACACACACATCGACTCACTCCAGAGAGGGAGTTCACCACAGACCAAAGGACAGATACCACCAGGTCCAACTTGGTGAACCAATGAGTTTTATTGGTCTTACTTAAAGGAACATACGTGAGGGATTACTTACTTTTAGTAAGGAGCAGAAGTAACTGAAAGACAGTTATAAGCCCAACCCGGCATGGGTGACAGCTCACAAAGCTCGGAACCTGGAACACACTGTACAGCCTGCAGGCAGCTCAACAGGTTGGAGAGTGTCCTCTCCAGATGCCTCAGCTGATCCAAACCTCTTCCAGGCAGCTGGTCTGGTCTCAAAATCTTCTCTGCCCCTTTGCTAATGTGAGAATCCTCTTTGCAGAATGGCTCTTCTTACCCTGGCAAGGAGGGGGCCTGAAGAATCCTGTTGGTTTCAGGGACTTCCTGGAGCTTCTTGAGTTGTTTACCTTCCTGTTTAAAGAGTCCCCCTCCACCATGGAATGTTTCAAAGTTGGAGGAAACTGTTTCACAAGAGGAGAGCTCTTCTGCATTTTTTTAAAGTTCGTTTCATCTGTTCTTCGTGGTTAACACTTTGAGGGAGGAACCATCAACATTTCCATTCTCAGATGAAAAACAAAAATCAGAAATACAGAAAAATGGAGTAACTTTCTGGTTAGTCAGCTTTCCATCATTGTCACAAAATCCCCAAGAATACCAACCTTGCGGAGGATGGGTTTCTTTGGCTCCGGGCTTCATTCCATGGTCACCTGGCTTCGTTGTTTTTGGCCTGTGATAGGGCAGAACACCATGGTGGGGAGGGTGCAGCCGAGCAAAGGAGCTCACCTCACAAAGGACAGGGGCCAGGGAGAAAGCAGCAGAAGGAGCCAAGGAACAAGATTTGGTCCTCCAAGGCACGTTCCTAAGTACAATTCCCTACTTGAAGTACACTTCCTAAGTGACACGTTTCCCACTCAGTTAAGAACTCAATATCCCATTAAATTATGAGCTCATGAATGAACTGATCCACTGATGAGGTCACAGCCTTCAGGATCCACTCACTTCGCAAAAGCCCGGTACACACTACGCACTGTGTGCGCTGAGCACAAAGCCTGCCTCACATGAGCCTGGGGCACCTCCAGATCTACCCTAAACGCTCATCCTCGTCTGCGCTGGGAGTGATGAGGCCGGGTTGAAAACCCAGATCTGTTCGCTACAGCTCACAGCCTGTAGTAAAGGTTAATTTGCTTCTATTTAAAAAATGGACTGTTAACCGTCTGAGAAATCAGAACTCTAGAGAGCCCTCTCCTCACATTGACAAGTCTCCCGTCTGTCCTGTTCATCTGTGTGTGGTCAGGGTGACTTTCACTTTGGTCTCTTTCTACCTCCCAAGGAAAGGAGAGCAAACTGGGGGAATTGGTCAGACTGGCTGGCTGGAAGAGCACGCAGGAAAGCCAAGGGACAAAGGGAAGGCTGACGGGACAGAAGGAAGGGAGTGAGGGATGGCGGCACAGACAGGAAGGGCCTCTCACAAAGAGCTCAAAACTTGACTGAGGGCCAGGGAAAAACAAAGAGGATCTTGGCAGGAAGCCTGGCCTGAGAAGTGGCAAGAGCCCGCAATAGCACCATGCTCAGAGAGAGACGAGGTTCTGAGGGGAGATGGGGGGAGAGAGAGGGAGGAGGGAGAGGGGGGGAAGAGGGAGAGAGGAGGGGGAGAGGGAGGGAGGGAGAGAGAAAGAGGAGGGAGGAAGAGAGAGGGGGGAGAGAGAGGGAGGGAGAGAGAGAGAGAAAGGGAAGGAGGGAGGGAGAAAGAGAGAGGAGGGAGGGAGAGAGGAGGGGGGGGGGGAGACACAGAGAGAGACACAGAGACTCCAGCACCTTTGCCTGCCCTTAAACCTCAGCTCACCAAGCAAACCCAACTTGATATGTGAGATATGGAAGACTGAACTCATCTCTATTTTTAGGAAGGACTTTCATCTCCAGTTGTGCAGTCGTTATACAGAATCTTAATTCCCCAGGCTCTCTAGGATCCTAGTAAAACTCGGTATTTTACAAACGTCTCTCTGTCGTAGGGGAGCTTTATCCTAATGCAGAGATCAAGCTGGCTCTTAGGTGCTAGTGGACAGCTGCGCAGTGCAAAGGGGGGGGGGGGCTAGTCACCAGCGCACGGATGCTGGCCACGTCGCTGGGCACTTCCGTTCACTCTAGAGTGGAGCTCGTTTTTCCCCTTTGGTGGGGGACAGAATCTCTGTTTCATCTGTTTTGTCTTTTTTTTTTTTAAATCACCCCACCAGTCATTACACAGCTGGTCTTAAAGTCAAAAGATTCCATTCAGGAAAGCACCCGACAGCCCAGCATGAAGACCCCGAGTGAAAATAAGTCAATTCACTCTTCCTCCTTCTGTGGATTTTGAAATTATTCAAAACTGCTGACAGGTTTCAAGAGGAATGAAAAGAATGTCCACCTACCTCCCACCTAGATAGACTATTGGGTGATATTCTGCCACAGCTCTGCCTCCTGCCTGTGACACACACGTCCTCGGTCTTTGCCAAACTTTTGAACCTGTAGAGAGGTGGCTGCAGATGTTATCACCTTTCACTCTACTTAAGTTCCTTAAAACAAAGACATATTCTTTGATAACCACAGTGTAATCATCATGCTGGTAAAAACGTTCCTGAGATTCATTATCTAGCATAGGATACATTCAATGATGCCATTGTATCTGAGCTCTGCCCTGATTATCTAGCATCTTGCCAAGAACAATGGTAGTTGGTTCTTGTTGTGGTGGGTTTTTTTTTTGTCTGGTTAGTTTGGTTTTGGTGTTTTGAGACAGGGTTTCTTTGTGTAGCCTTGGCTGTCCTAGAACTTGTTCTGTAGACCAGGCTAGCCTCGAACTCAGAGATCCACCTGCCTCTGCCTCCCGAGTGCTGGAATTAAAGACGTGCACCCACCACTGCCCGGCTTGTAGTTGGTTCTTACAGCCCTTTAGGCTCCTCCACTCTTCTCCCCACTCAGTCTTCTGCCCCCTTCAATCCTCTAATAACACTGCTTGAAACTCCAGGTCAGTTGTTTTGTGGAATACGCTCACTTTGGATCTCATTAGTCGTTTCCAGTAATCACATTCATGTTAAGCAACAGAAATATTATTACATTGACTCACATAAAATGGTTATTTTTGTTGATCGAAATCCAAAATTTTATATAGTTCAAGTTAATGAATACAGGCTATTGTGTCCTTCCCCTTACATGTCATCAAGAACATACAATGCTCACTGGGCTGTAATTGATGATAATAAGTTTGATCCTATGGTTAAGTATGCATTAGAATTTACCACTGTCTTACTCTCTTTTGAATTAATAAGAACTCTGTGGGGACTGTGTGAGTACCCTCTTCCCCAGGCTCCCATCTGGTATTTCATCACTCACTGATGACTATTGTCTATGCGGTAAAAGTAATGATTTTTTGTTCCTGTGATTGCTTACACATTGTCTAGGTGGCATCTTCTATAAAGCATTATACCTCCACGCTGTTTACAGAATCTTTGTTTGTTTTTTCAAGACAGGGTTTCTCTGTGTATTGCCGGCTGTCCTAGAACTCACTTTGTAGACCTCGAACTCAGAGACCTGCTTGCCTCTGCCTCCCAAGTGATGGGATCAAAGATATGCACCACCACACTTGGCTACAGAACCTTTTGTAGATAGAGTACATGTATTCTTTTTCATTTACTATGCCACATAATTCATTCTTACCATTAGCCCTTATAATGTTTTCCACATTTAAGATGCTTTGAAAAAATCACCAAGTTGCCATTACCTTTCTAATGCCAGGACATATCCCCTCATGATGTGTGTTATCTGCCAGATTTGAACCTGGAGCTCCCAAGGGGCAACTCAAAAATTGCTCATTTATAATCCTGGATTTTATGTTGTTTCTGCCTTACCTCTTCTAGATACATCCTCAATAAAAGAATTATAATTACCTTATTTTTTGGTTTATGTTTCCTTCCTCTCTCCTGTTCTTTCTCTAAGTTTCTCTTCCTTTCCCTTCTTTTTTCTTTCTGGTTATTTGTTTTTCAAGTCAGTTTTGAGTAACTGCTCTGTCAGACCATGTGATTAGTACCATCCCAACCTCAGTCTATTAAGATGCAAAGAGATCAAATTCAAAGTTATAATTCAAAATGAGCCAAATGTAAAACATTCATAAACCTACACAGGAAGACTCATATATTGAGTAAAATCTCCACATTTTGGTGTCTTAGAAGATAATTATTAAGTCCAATATCAAATCTTATTCTAATTTAATTTCAAAGAAACACAAAAATTTCACCTAATATTGCAAGCCCAGCATAGCAACACGCATAACATTGAAAGACCCCCGTAGGTAGTCTTCCCTCTGGAGAGACCCTCGCCCAGAGATCACACCGAGACCACAAGTCAGATGCAAACAGCAAGAGGCTTTATTCCGGAACACGGGTACCCGGGGCGATACAGTCCCTCCAGAGGCTGAAGAGACTGGCGCGCCGATGGGCTGGAGTGGAGGGTTTTTATAGGGTTGGGCAGCGGAAGGGCGGGTACAGAAGCAGGAAGCATAGTTTACAGGGTTCTGATTGGACGATTCGTATGAGGCCAGGTTCTAACTCAGGACAGCTCGTGGTTTTTCCCCCGAGCTCGACAGGCCTGCTGACTTGGCTCTTATCCAGGGTACAAGTTGTTTTTCTGACCTTTAGTACCCTGTTCTGGGGCCAGGTGGCCGACCGCAGATACCCTGTTTGTTCCTGTGCCCATGAACTTTCCCCGTACTTTTCAGGCCTTGCTCAAAAATGGCGTTAGGCTAAGCAAGCATGCTGGGGCCCCTCAGCACCACCCCAGAAGAGTCCCGGGGTCCCAGCCTGCACCTCCCTGCAGGGCTCCCCAGTCCTCAGGCCGCGCCACCCCCACAGGGTCCCCGAGTCCCCAAGCTGCGCCACCCCGGGGGTACCCGGGTCCCAGTTTGCACCGCCCGGAGGGTCCCCGGCCCTTGGCCTGCTCCGTTTCCGACCTGGGCCGGTTCACCCCTCCTTAGGCAACCTGGTGGTCCCCCGCTCCCGGGAGGTCACCATATTGATGCCGAACTTAGTGCGGACACCCTATCGGCATAGCGCACTACAGCCCAGAACTCCTGGACTCAAGCGATCCTCCTGTCTCAGCCTCCCGAGTAGCTGGGACTACAGGCGTGCGCCACCGCGCCCGGCGGCGGCACCGGGCGCTGGCGCCGGGCAGCGGCGCCAATCGGGCTCGAGGACACGGCGGGCCCGGGCTGGGAGCCTGCGGTCTCTGCCCGCCGCGCTACGACGCGGGGCCCGGGCGCGCGGGCCGCTGCGGGGCGCGCATGGCGGGCGCGGGCGGCTGGCGCGGGGACGGAGATGCGGCCCGGCCTGCGCTGCCCGCAGCTCCGCTCCTGGCGGCCTTTCAACATAAAAAGGAGACATTGTACATGTATCACACGGAATTTCTAATAAACAGAAGTCAATTTTATTATTTATCCCTCCCCTATAAAAATTAGAATGCTGTGGTTGATGCTGTCACTACTAACACGCCTCATACTGGCTAATTTCTTCTGAACCATCTTCCAATTTACTAATTTTCTCTATATCTTTATCTATTGTTTTAAAACAACATTGTTGAAATTCCTGGCCACTCCCCCAGCTACGTGACCACACATGCACAGTTCAGTAGCCAAGTAAGAGGCCTTATGTCCTACATAATCCACGCGCAGCTTGATCACGCAATCTATGCACATGCGTGGTGTCGCTCTATAAGTCCATATGTGCATGTGCAGGAGAATCCATAAGAAGCAGGACACAGACTCCTCTCCCTCCTTCCCAGCTTGTGACTTCACATCTCTTGAATATTCAGAGCCTGATGTTGTGGAGAGGCTTCTATCCAGATAAAACTTGCTGCCACATCTGCCAGGCTACCTGGAGCCACACCAGCCTCAGACCTAATGGAAATCTGGGCTTGTTTTTCTTTTTTACCTGCAATCCTGTTGATCAAACCCCAGGCTTTGTGCATGATAGACACTTTCCCACTGAGCCACGTCCTAAGCCTGAAGCCTGAAAAAATTGAAACCATTCAAACAAGAAGACATTTTCACGAGAAGGCAGATTTTTGTGGCTAACATGTGTCTGGGCCACTTCCCCAATGCTATCTCTGCTTGGAAACAAGGCCACTTCCTTTGCGTGCCTCTGGAGGTGGAGGTGATGTGCCCATTTGTAGTTACCTAGCCCTGGGAATCTCAGTTGCAGGGGAGAGTTCTCCTGACAGAGGTTCTTTGCTGGTCAGGCCCCAAGCTTTGTCTGCTGGGCTTTGGCAGTTTGACAAAGGTCTCTGCAGTTTGGTAAAAGTAGTTTCCTCTCAGATATTTTCTCTTCACTAAGAATGGCTCTTTACAATATTCATTTTACCCTTTAATCTTCTTGAAAGCATCTCTGTCTGCAGAACTAAGTTTTATCATTGTTTTTAATAAGAACATCCAGCCAGGTACTTGCTTGTTTCCTAAAGAGGCAAAATTAATGAAGTTGAGCTGGCTGTGAT